TATGTACTACCAGAAGTGACGGACTTATTGGTTCTGCTGTATTCTGTCTTATTAAAAAAAATTTCCCCTTTTATTATCTTAATCCATCAAATGGTTTCAGGACGTTTCCTCATGAACTACTGGTCGGATATTCATTTAACTTAACAAGAGCATTGGTGAGTATGTGAAGATGTGCGTAATGTCTTCATTGTCCTGTCAGTTATCAAACATTGCCGCAGTGACTTCAGATTGATTGACATATTCATTGAGTCAACCGTCAATCAATATATACTGTATACCGGGAAATGTACGCCCAATCAAACTTTCGCCTTCGCATGTCTCGACTCTTATCCACTAAAACAACTCACTGTAAGCCACAGCGTTCGCAGTCAGTAAAATCAGCAGTCAGCACTCTTATATGAGGGACGGGCAATATATTCACCCATTCCGCCCCTCATATACTATTATTCTGACGGTAAGTTGTTTCAGTTGTAGATAGTAAAGTCATTTGCATTATTTGCTTGACAAAGGAAACAGACGTTTGCGAAAGCTCGCTAAATAAGATTCAAGTCAATATTTTTGTTCAAAACAAACTTAGCAAACAGGTTGGATGAGTTTTCTCAATTCAAAATAATGAGATTAACTATAATATTATGGTATTTTTCTATTCGTTTTCATTTCAATTAATCTTGTTGTGTAAAAGGGCTATTCTCGTAACAATAAAATTATTTTTGAATTCATAGAATTTATTCATGTCTCGCAATGTTTCACAGATCAATATCTAACTTGCGTATGTAACGACATGCTTGTCCAGGTAGATAGGTGCAGTGCCCGAGAGGCAGAAGTCCTAAAGGTCCGAAACACTTTCTTAGGACCGGCAGATAAGGCCTCCGAAGTAGCAGAATGTTTGGGCGGGGGGGGTCAACAGAACTGCTAACATGTCTCCGCGAGAGAGAGACCAAACCCCAAGGATTCCACGGTGGAAACCTGGACATGTACGGGCTAAGCCCGTAACTGCCGGGATGCTGCCGCAGCCCAAAACCATCCGCAGGCAGGTAAGGGCGGCCTAAGGATGGTAAGCCAGGGGGGAAACCGGCCCCCTGTCCAGCAAACCCGGAAGAATGAAACTCAGGACCGGACCTAATAGGACCGGGTCCGGGTAACTGACCGGGAGGGTCGGGTCCGGGTAACTGACCGGGAGGGTCGGGACCGGGTAACTGACCGGGAGGGTAAGCCTGACCAGCATTGGTGCCGGGATTAGTGAGCTGCGCGTCACTAATCCCGGTAGACACAGACAATCCCGAAAGAAAGTCGGTAGTCACACCAGGACCTGAACCCTAAAGAACAGGCCCGGCACCAAGACTGTCCCCAACGACAGCACCACCTGGAATGCCGGGATCACTGACAGAGTCAGTGACCGGCGGCCGGTAGTCCCTACCCGAAGGCAAGCGCGAAAGCTTATGGGCGTTCCCGGCCAATTCGACCCCGGGCTGTGCTAAGCAAGGGTCGGGCTGCCCCTCCCCTACTCCAGAGAGTTCCTGGACAGGAAGGGCCACCCCCTGTTCACGAGAGGGACTCGCAGAAGCGAGACCCCCCGAGACAGGAACAGAGACAGTACCACCAGACCCCAGAGAGCTGGTGGCCCGCCCCCTACCTCTCTGCTTCCCTCGCTTACGGGAAAAAACAGACGAATCTCTCTTACGGTATGTTGAGGGTAGCTTTGGAACAATAAAGTCCTTGTCCTGATATTTAGTCTATGAACAAAGTTCACAAGGCGAAACCTCACTCCAAGGACGACACCTGGGACAAGCATCATGAGGATACCGTTCAACGAAGAAATGGGAACACCCATGAGCTCTACCTCGTCGCTGTCTCCACCGAGACATATCCTCCAAAGCTAAAGCAGACAAAAATTTACAAGCAGATAAACACGAGAAAAAAATAATAAAATACGATAGTACAAAGTACGCAACGTAGAAAGAATTTCACCCGTAATATAAATCAGAAAACGGTTAAAATAAATAACGTTTGCCGAAACAGACTACCGTCACTGAAATAAACAGAGGTCGGAAATTAACTCACAATAATGGCGGACCGCGGGGCACCCCACCGGCACACGTGGAGTAAAATAACCAGCCGTAAAAGGCACAAAAATAATTTTCAACAATTATTAATTTAGGGCAGATGGGTAATGGAGCTAGCTCCGGGCGTCAGCAGACAGCAGGCGCCATACAAGGAAGAGGAAGGGAGATCACTCCGTGGCTCTGTCGTCGAGATATGGGTTACGTCACGGTAGGGAGGTAGAGATATTTAAATCTTTTGTTTTTCGGGCTACAAAGATGGGTGTAGGTATTGTATATGCATACTAACGTTATGGTTATTATTACTGAAATGAAAAGGGGTATTCTCGTAATAATAAAATTATTTTTGAATTCATAGAATTTATTCATGTCTCGCAATGTTTCACAGATCAATATCTAACTTGCATATGTAACGACATGCTTGTTCAGGTAGATATGGACATTTAAGATCGCAATCATGTAGAATTTGCAAGGGACATAACTCTTGGTGTTCTAACATTGTAAATTATTTGTTATATAAATCAATACTTTGTGATGATTTGTCGATCTAACGTCGTAATTACAACCATTCCTAGTTGCATCACTTGTATATTTTACAGTATTTTTTGTCTGCTTTTTGTAGTTTTATGGGACAGTTGGTTTAAGATACCTTTTTTTAAAACCTATACAAAAAGTTGTTAAGTTAAATTTATTACATGTAAGAATGATGAAGTATGTCTACTATGTACATTATTATATATCGGAATTGAATACTTTATAAAATAGATGAAAATAAAATCATTCATCAATTTACACTCGAATAAAAGATTTTAGAAAAAAAGGATTGACGCCAAAACGATGTCATGATAAAAATATGCATACATTAGATCGATATTAGTTTACCAGATAATTTAGAAATTTGATATGTTTACATGTTTAATGTATGATGTGTACGCACAGTTTTGTGGATACCGTACTTGTCGGGTGAGAAATAATCAATTAACGGTTACTTTGTAGCGTACGGCCAGGCAAATATTAAGCAATTGTCCACGCTCAACGTTCCTGAACTATTGAGCGCGTCCTAGAGTCACACCGCATCACTGGGAAAGCTAGCTTTACAGCATGGCTGTGTGTCTCCTCTCCTAGTCCTCGCCTGTTACACATCCCCATCAAAGTGGTTCCGTCCAGACACTAAGTCTTGGCAATCACTTGCATTGGGTCCTTCGTGTGTATCAATGCACCTGCCGTAACCACTGGGAACTGACCTTACATGATATAACAGCGGCACTGCTTTGCTACCAAATGTAACGTGTAACATCCAACAAGTCACTGACCACGCTCGACTAGTGTCAACGGGAACGCTGACGTTGCTGAACTAGTGTCAACGGGAACGCTATCTTGCCAGTATTGCTGTTTGTTCTGCTCATACTCTTTGGCTGTTACACACAAACCCTTCAACAAGTCTTGTCTCGATACCTAGCCTGGACAATCCCGATGGTTCTTTCTACGTATCAATGCACCTTACTTAACCACTTGGAACTAGACTAGCATGATACCGCATACGAAACTTGCGCGTGGGCACCCATCCAGCGACGTTGCTCAACTGGTGAGCGGGTCCTCGAGTTATACCGCATCACTGGAAAAGCTAGCTTGTTAGCAACGTTGTGTTCCCCTCTTATTCCTTTGCTTTTTTAACATCAAGCCTTCATCAAACAAAAACACTCTACGTTTTAAACGTTATTTATTATATCCTCTGAAGACAAAATCACAAACAAATTCAGTAAAGAATGAAATTTATATACACAAAAAAAACAAAAAAAACATCAATTTATTATTTTAAATCTTGTAAAAGCAGGGACACATTTTAGCTTTGACCAGACATATAGAAAATGCGATTAGAAAAATCTTGTTCTTCATTTAACCATTCTGATGATATGAAAATCATACAAGAAATACCTATTTAAGAAAGATAAGAATATTTTACTAGAATATATTTCCTCATTCTACGAAATTTTCTTTTCGACAATTATCTTAACTGTTCACCAAATTTTGGAGCTTGTGATAGAAGTGTAGATCAACTGTAGGGACTCAGAACCATAACATTAGATGATTACATAATAATTTGATATATACTTTTGTTATACTATATAAAAATATTTGAAAAATACAAAAAATGACAATATTAAACATTCTGCTACATGGTCAAAAAGAATGAATTACAAACAGCGTGACTGACATGATGTTGATATCGTACAAACATCCTATAGATGTACTTATTACACAACTCACTACGACATATCAACAACGTCACTTTTCCATTCGATTTTACCTGGGAGTCCTTGTCTGTAGAAACTTAGTCCGACAGCTAGACTTAGACACTGTACATCAAACCAAAGCATTCGTGTCAACGACTCAATACACTGCAATCTGTACAGAAAGTACTTAACAGTGAGCAATACGCAGCGTATCCAGAAAGGTTTCCATGTGGCATATCTCAACTCCAACCATAAATCCTGTCAATGCATACTTCATCTTTTTTATTCTGTACAAAATATACACAAACTTCTCATTTGGAAATAAATTTGAAAAATCCATCATATGAAACCCTCCAATCCCAATTGTGTTCCGGACGCAAATACCGCAATATCGGATGGAATTAAATACCGTGAACTATCATAAAGTGTTAATTTAACCGTACGATTACCAATAAAAAAAAAACAGTGCAGTCGTTTCGCAAGGTAGTTTTAGAGATACTCTATTATATATTTTTCATCGTTCGAAAATATTTAAGTTCAAACAATACGCATGTATTTGTACACTCCTAACGGTTTTTTAATCTTGTACTTTATGACAAATTTTCAATTCACGTGTATAAAAGAAACATTTTGCTTAAAGCATTCGAAAATCAGGAAAATACCTGGTACATTACGTTCGTTTTCTGAAACCAAATTTTTCGCACGATTTTCCTCAGTTAGCATGCCCTTGGACATGGTGTTTTTTGTTTTCCTCAGTTAGCATGCCCTTGGACATGGTGTTTTTTGTCGTTGGCGGCTTGTACTTTGTTCAAGTGGTGCTTGTTGGTCTTGTTCATTATCACCCTTCTTTGGGCGACGTGATTCTTTTTGTGTATGACGTCATTCTTTTTGTGTGCGGGGCCATTCGATCTGTGGTGCATGACACGGTTGCGCTTCCGTTGCTGAATGTGGTTGCCAATGACAGCCTTCATTCGGCTTAACCTGGCCTGGCTCCTCTTGTCTGGTCTCATCCTGGTTCTGTGATCTCGCTTCATGATAGGGATTCTCAGGTTGTTTCCCAATTCTTTAGTGTTCCGGCGGTGGCGCATCAATTCAGTCCTAAGGTCGCGACGAAGACGCTTGATGCGCCGGAGGGTCTTATCAGCCCGAACCCTTTTCGCACGATGAAGGACAGCTTCCATTGGAACTCTCTTCCTTCTACTTAGTGCCCTTTCGCTAATTTGAGGACGATGGATGTAAGATAATGACCTTTTTGTACGTTTCATTCTTTTTAATTCAGTTTCAGGCTCATGTAACCTCTTCATCCGGCTCAGGGCTTGTCCTTCAGACTTTCGTTTTGTTCTTACGAGATTATTGTTAAGTTGAAGATCTTCTAGCTCCTCAGCTGCTCTGGTCTGTCGGTGTTTTGCCTATAAAACATTAAACAATATCTACAATTACTATTTTGTATCATCATAATGGTCTTAAAGTAAAGAGTCCTATCTCAATGCAGCTAACACACAAGAGATTCACTGTGCTTATGTTATATATGCAGTAATCTCCCCTTTATTTTGTTTTGTATTTAACTGTAGCGCAATAGAGCAGAACCATTTCCGTTGACTAGGTAGCGCGGTTGGTAGGACCGAAAGAATCACTATCTGAGGTCCAGGCTCCAATCATGGTCTGGCCACGCTGATGTTTCATAGAAGTCCTGCAAGTTATGATTTTCAGAAACGCTTTATTAAAGCGATACTCAGTAGTCATGAAAAGACATTTAAAATACATTGTTGTGTTTTATAGCAGCAGTGGTTCAGAGTTCTTTAAATAATGGGACTCGCAACAAAATTGAATAGTGTAATGAGTAAATGCCATACTAGATGGTAAAAAATAGTTTTAAATGACGTCAAATTATTTAGAAACAAGCAATAATTTATTTATTTCGTTTTAAATGAAACATGTGTTACTAAATTGACAGAACTTATCGATCGCGAAAGACTCATTAAACAGTAGTGATGTGAGCCAATTGACTATAGGTATGAGGCTTGGCTCAGGACTATGTACATTTGGATCAACAACTAGTATTTGAACTTAATATCACGCACGTTGGCGTGAGTGTGAACAATAAAATGTACCAGGGATGTCTGTAGCTTGTCAATCTTACCCACACTGCTAACTCCAGTACGTTTACCATCAGACGCTTTGTACAATCGGAAAGTGTATTTGAAGACGCTGGAGTTTTTCATTCTAAAGATTTGTGCATGTAGCCTAAACTATGAAACAGGGCAAAATATGAGAGCACTAAATCCCATTATTATCGATGTATATGCACTTGCTTATTGGCCGACATGAAAACAGCTTCTCTGGATTATGACAGCGCAGTAAATGATGTTGATGTTTATCTAGTCAATGTTGCAGGCAATTGGTAATCATACGGTAAATATCGCCTGTCTAGTGTTGAATACCAATTAGAATCATCCACTGGGATGAAAAGTTGATTGAAAAAATATGAAAAGTATTCATTCCACGAGTTGAAATGTAACAATAAACACACATGTTACTGACAGAAGGTATTGATCGTCAGTAGTAAACACTGTTCACCGGGTCATTTGATAATGGTGGTGAAGTCATTATTATCTCATTTAATGTGGCTGCTGCTGTCTGATAAGGCAGTTTCATGTAAAAATACCAGAAATGTTATTTTTATATATTAGATAAACATCAACTTTATTTTCACTTTAAAGCTAGTGTTTCGCTACATAAAATGGACCAGATCTTATATTGTATCAGTATTAAACTGGTTTAAGCTGACTAAAATGGTTTTTATTTTTATCTTTTGGATTGATTTTTGTATCACCAAAAGGACTGACAAACACCAGTACACCGAAGCTTTCGAAGCTTGACATTAAACTAATAACATTCCGAAATGGTTCTAACTTCCGTGATCCAATAAATTACTCCAAGTTTTATCGCCGAGAAGTGTATTGATTTCAAATGCCACGAGATGGTTCTCTCAATAACTATATCGTGGCAAGGAAACAAAATGAATCAGCATTAGGCATCAGACGGAATCCATACAGTTTTATTTCTTTCATTAGGCGATACATCATTCCAGGCAGCATGCAATATTCCTAGATTCACTACCTATGTCATATATAAGCTAGTCATCAACTCCTGGAAATTGATTTTTACATCAGACATATTTCCTGCTGCGTTGCTAGGTATAACTATATAGTTGTCAATAGTGGCACATTGTTGAGGTGAATGTGTGGTTATGTGAACATGACCGACCGAGAAAAAGTTTACCAAAGTATTGTTTTATTTTACATGAAATGAAAGTATACTGATTTTTATCGATAAACAAAATGGGTATATGTTGCTGTAACTTTAGACCGGATGTTTGCTGTAACTTTAGCCCTGATGTTTGCTTAAACTTTAGCCCCGAGGTTTGCTGTAACTTTAGCCCCGAGGTTTGCTGTAACTTTAACTCCGAGGTTTACTGTAACTTTAGTCCCGAGGTTTGCTGTCACTTCAGCCCCGAAGTTGCTGTAACTAAGCCCCGAAGTTTGCTGTTACTTTAGCCCTGAGGTTTGCTGGAACTTTAGCCCCGAGGTTTGCTGTAACTTGAGCCCCGAGGTTTGCTGTAACTTTAGCCCCGAGGTTTGCTGTAACTTTAGCCTCGAGGTTTGCTGGAACTTAGCCCCCAGGTTTGCTGGAACTTTAGCGTCGAGGTTTGCTGTAACTTTAGCCTCGAGGTTTGCTGTAATCTTGATTGCCACAGTTAGTGACATGGTTTATGATAACATGTAACATACGCACTTTACAGATTATTAAATTTAAATTAACTAGTACTTCTTTATTTTTTTAAGTTCATAATCTAGGTCTTTATGTAAATGCCCCTCTGTTTCAACAGGTGTTTTGACAATTCGGATTTCCAACTTGTTGGCACCTTGTCACCTGTGTGTGTGCTACGTTCATCCCTGATACGGACATGCTACGCATACAAATACCATAGGAAGATAATTCAATGACTAGTGTCATGTCCAAAAAAATAACGCTAGTTAAAATTTTGCGCTGATTTAACCTTCGTAGCAGTAAGTGGAACCCACGCAGAATTTTACAAAACATGCACCAAGTTTCTGGTAATTACAAGCTTTCCATGAAGGGAGCTTGTCAGATAATTTAAATCCAAATATAATACCCGGTATTAGCTTTTGTTGATATGATGAACGGTACGATATAATGTCATGTCACACATATCAATTAATCATGTGACTATTGTGTAAACCAGTATGGTGGGATCACTTTGTCGTAGTATCGGGGGTAGCAGTCAGTACGATATAATGTCATGTCACACATATCAATTAATCACGGGGGTAGCATGTGAACCAGTGAGTTGGGATCACTTTGTCGTATTATCGGGGGTAGCAGTCAGTACGATATAATGTCATGTCACACATATGAATTAATCACGTGCCTATTGTGTGAACCAGTGTGTTGGGATCACTTTGTCGTAGTATCGGGGGTAGCAGTCAGTACGAGCTAATGTCATGTCACACATATCAATTAATCACATGACTATTGTGTGAACCAGTGTGTTGGGATCACTTTGTCGTAGTATCGGGGGTAGCAGTCAGTACGACCTAATGTAATGTAACACATATCAATTAATCACGTGACTATTGTGTGAACCAGTGAGTTGGGATCACTTTGTCGTATTATCGGGGGTAGCAGTCAGTACGACCTAATGTAATGTAACACATATCAATTAATCACGTGACTATTGTGGGAACCAGTGTGGTCGGATCACTTTGTCGTAGTATCGGGGGTAGCAGTCAGGACTTATTGTTTTACGGTTGTATATACCGATACACATTATATAAGTCCAGGTAAAGGATATGGGATCACTTTGTCGTAGTATCAGGGGGTAGCAGTCAATACGATATAATGTCATGTCACACATATGAATTAATCACGTGCCTATTGTGTGAACCAGTGTGTTGGGATCACTTTGTCGTAGTATCGGGGGGAGCAGCCAGTACGATATAATGTCATGTCACACATATCACTTAATCATGTGACTATTGTGTGAACCCGTGTGGTGGGATCACTTTGTCGTAGTATCGGGGTAGCAGTCAGTACTTATTGTTTTACGGTTGTATATACTGTCATGTCACACATATCAATTAATCACATGACTATTGTGTGAACCAGTGTCTTGGGATCACTTTGTCGTAGTATCGGGGGTAGCAGTCAGGACTTATTGTTTTACGGTTGTATATACCGATACACAAGTGTGTTGGGATCACTTTGTCGTAGTATCGGGGGTTAGCAGTCATTCCGAGCTAATGTCATGTCACACATATCAATTAATCATGTGACTACTGTGTGAACCAGTGTGGGGGGATCACTTTGTCGTTGTACCGAGGGTAGCAGTCAGTACGATATAATATCATGTCACACATATCACTTAATCATGTGACTATTGTGTGAACCCGTGTGGTGGGATCACTTTGTCGTAGTATCGGGGTAGCAGTCAGTACTTATTGTTTTACGGTTGTATATACCGATACACATTATATAAGTCCAGGTAAAGGATATTCGTTTTATATCTATTTTTATACGGGAACATTCAACATATAAGTATAAATCATACATACTCAAATGTATGCGACAGTAGTAGTGCGATACAAAACACACACACAACCATCTAGTATCAGGGGGTAGCAGTCAATACGATATAATGTCATGTCACACATATGAATTAATCACGTGACTATTGTGTGAACCAGTTTGGTGGGATCACTTTGTCGTAGCATCGGGGGTAGCAGTCAGTACGGTATAATGTCATGTCACACATATCAATTAATCATGTGACTATTGTGGGAACCAGTGTGGTCGGATCACTTTGTCGTAGTATCGGGGGTAGCAGTCAGGACTTATTGTTTTACGGTTGTATATACCGATACACAAGTGTGTTGGGATCACTTTGTCGTAGTATCGGGGTTTAGCAGTCATTACGAGCTAATGTCATGTCACACATATCCCTTAATCATGTGACTATTGTGTGAACCAGTGTGGTGGGTTCACTTTGTCGTTGTACCGAGGGTAGCAGTCAGTACGATATAATGTCATGTGACACATATCAATTAATCACGTGACTATTGTGGGAACCAGTGTGGTCGGATCACTTTGTCGTAGTATCGGGGGTAGCAGTCAGGACTTATTGTTTTACGGTTGTATATACCGATACACAAGTGTGTTGGGATCACTTTGTCGTAGTATCGGGGTTTAGCAGTCATTACGAGCTAATGTCATGTCACAAATATCACTTAATCATGTGACTATTGTGTGAACCAGTGTGGGGGGATCACTTTGTCGTTGTACCGAGGGTAGCAGTCAGTACGATATAATGTCATGTCGCACATATCAATTAATCACGTGACTATAGTGTGAACCAGTGTGTTGGGATCACTTTGTCGTAGTATCGGGGTTTAGCAGTCATTACGAGCTAATGTCATGTCACACATATCAATAAATCTCGTGACAATTGTGTGAACCAGTGTGGTGGGATCACTTTGTCCTAGTATCGGGGTGGCAGTCAGTACTTATTGTTTTACGGTTGTATATACCGATACACAAGTGTGTTGGGATCACTTTGTCGTAGTATCGGGGTTTAGCAGTCATTACGAGCTAATGTCATGTCACAAATATCACTTAATCATGTGACTATTGTGTGAACCCGTGTGGTGGGATCACTTTGTCGTAGTATCGGGGGTAGCAGTCAGTACTTATTGTTTTACGGTTGTATATACCGATACACATTATATAAGTCCAGGTAAAGGATATTCGTTTTATATCTATTTTTAGACGTGAACATTCAACATATAAGTATAAATCATACATACTCAAATGTATGCGACAGTAGTAGTGCGATACAAAACACACACACAACCATCATTACACAAATGTATCCACACACACACACACACACACACACAAGTAATACCTGATTAAAACTGTTGCTTTTCTTCTTATTTTGCCTGAAATTGACATTGGAATGCAGACAAAAACTTAAAGAGGTCATTTGTACATTGATGAATATAAGTTATATGTATGTTAACTTACAGGCAAAAATCTCAAAGGATTTCTGTTTTGTTATCTATGATGTCTTTGTTCCAAAATGAAATCGAAATAATTCTAAGTGGTGGAGAAAAGAATTTAACGTTGGTTTATTTTGGAATAACTATAAACATACCGTTATTTATACAATATTGAAGGGAAAATCTTATCTGTGTCCCAAAACAATGGACGATATTATTATTCCGATTCAATCATCAATTTCAAAATTGACGGTAAATATACAATAAAGCAAGATTTGTTTGATTAAGATGAATATTGATAGTTCATATGATCATAAAACAGGAAACGCTTCTCCCTATAGGACGACAAAGTGAACGTCCGCATTTCTCATACGTACAATATCATTGGTGCACACGAGTCACCTGATAAAGCAAAACGGTAGAAAGATCCATAAAGCATTGGCAAAGTAACATCCCAGTATGTTAGCATATCTTCCACATTTGCCGTCCTTAAATGACCATAGCTGTTGATAGGACGTTAAACAATACTAAACAAAACAAAAACCAATCTTCCACATCTGATATTCAAAACTACCCTTCATTTGGATTTATTTGATCTGAAAAGTTCCTTTCCTGAAAAGCATATACTAAAACGCATTACCTGTTAGGTAATTATTTTGGCCAATTGACGAAAAGCGAACGTAACGCGAACACAGCCACACACAGATGGTTGTACATTTAAAATTGAATAAAATATACAGTATGCTAAAAATAAATTTAACTGTATCATATACAGCTGTTTCGTCCTTCTAGGACTCATCGGTGATATGAACGGCTAAAAAGGCGGAAATTCAAATGGGTCTAAACTTTTGTTGAAACAAAGGAGGAGGTTCTCCTTAAAATCATACGGATATTACGTCAGAAGTACAACTACGTTTCGATTTACCTGATAATTAAGAGATGCTGCATTTTTTGTAAGTGTAATCAGTGAATTCGATTAACAGTTGTATATAGTTATACAGGTATCATAATAAACCAGTGTTCTAAATATGACAATAACGCTTCCGAAACTGGCACATCAATCTATAAAATTGCCAGAAAAACACAATTGAAACTGACACAACAACTTAACTTTGATAAACATAAAACAGTGAATAGTATTAGGAAACAGTGTTTAGTAACGAAGATTCATGTCGTATGCTGTTAGTGTACTAAATATGCACATGGGTCATTCCGCGGAGTCATTATCTTGACAAGGATTATTTAGAAATTTGTCATAAATTAATACTGTACTTACGATTAACTTTCATGATCATTTCACGTAAAGTATGTTCTAACAAAAGCTAGTTGGTCCTGAGCATTGATTCAAATAGCATTGTAATCGGAATAACAAATTATTGATTATGAATTACCTAAACGTGTAATAAATAAAGGGAGAATACGGGACAGATATTTGTTAAAAAAAATAAGACCAGGAATCACAACTTGCCCTGGATTTGACCACCGCCTACTGCTGTTAGTAAAGGAAGCATATTAAATGACTATTGCATGGTAATGGCCTTAGCATTTCCTAAACCGATGACATTCTGCGTTTAACGTCGATTAATAGTAGATGTACATCCATTTACTGCAAAATAATAGCTTGATGAGCATATACAAAATGTCTTTGTGCATGGTAAATGCAATTTCCGAGGCGACAATATTATTCACTTAAATGTGCAGTCCTATGTGAGTGCCTTAAGTGCATTTGTACACAGTTTTTGCGCGGTACGACGAATCCGCGAACTCAACAAGAAATAAATCGAACACTCTAGTCAAACAGCAGACGTATCCAAAACAATCTTGAATCCATATATTGAAAACTGCAGAAAATCCCCCATTTTTCTACTTAAAGGCGATGTAACAAAGCATTAGCAATTACTTCAAAAGTTAATTATATAAAGTAATAATCAAGACAAGTACTGTATGATATGAATCTCTTTAGGTGCGAGTTCTGTCAAATATCACTATATACACTATTGTTAAATCACATTGCTGTATTTATGACCGGACAATGTATCACGATTAACATTTAATAGCATTATATAGTGATGTCACACGCACGGGTTTTAGTTAACAACGACGTAGAAAAGTCGAGTCAAAACGTATACTATAAAACATGTTTCTAATACGTCAACGTATACAAATACGCTATACATTGGCAGTGGAGAATTGTTGAAAATAATTCACTAAATTGAATCTTTGACTAAGCACTATTTCATTGGTAAACATTTGATACTTTAGAACTCTGATCAATGATAATGCTGTGGAGATAGGCATCATCAGTCTCTGTGTTTCTGTAATCAATACGTCGCATATACAACAATGGCCACCGCGAAGCTACATAAAGAATGGCAGGCTATATAACTAGCTTGTGTAACGCTAGGCCTATATTGATAATGACCTACATATATATAATTACAGTTTAAACGTTGGGATTAAATTACATACATGGTTGCCTGTTTATTTCAGGAAGACCACATTGAAATCCTAATAATCTTTAAATGTATATAAATATCTTACTCACCTTTTTCCCTTCAATAAGGGTTAAAGTCAGCACCAACACGACGACACAAATAGTACCCCCCTTCATTTTGGGATATGACCGATGTTCTTCAAATCTGCTTAGAAGAGTTCGTCAACCAAAATATACAAGTATTCATTGAACCAAAATGGCAGCTAGTCTGTTTTGGTCGCAAAGCCTTTCCACGAGAATCAATATCTATATCGATCGCAGCGCTACTCGTGGAAGCTACACTGTGTTGGTTTAAGTGGCGAAATATCTGTGATGCATTACATACATTCGATTCATTACCAGTTGCTGCGGAGGAATATAAAACGGTGCTATTTTATACGAATGATTGACAGGGCTAATAACACTAGCTGACATTATACATGCTCATTTTCGCTCGTAGCTAACACTTAATATTCGTCTGACGTTAAATGTCAAACGAACACAATTATAGGGCCATAACATGCATTATGAACATAATTTTTTGTCATCATTTGAACACATTGCTAGGAAGCATAGCAAGAACTGTGTTGTATGTCGTCTGCAAATATTGATAGACGCAATACTCAATAAACGATTCGATTGAGATTGGATGGGCATGCCCTTTAGCATATATATATATATATATATGCTGCATAAAACCTAAGATGACATACCATTTATAAATTGACAGCACGACCACAACATGTAAACATTTTACTACCAATACCAGGGTCCACTTTAAAAAGACAGAGGAGGAGAATATCGAAGAAAATACCGGAGGTGTTACAAAAAAAAAAAATCGAGAATACCAAGGTGTCAGCAAAACCATAATTCGTACTCAAAACTGATAAAACTTGGGCAAAATATTAACAAAATTAAAAAGGTTTACATGGTACCTTTCGACAAAACACAAGGGTATTTAGACCAGGTGTTCAGGAGGGGTAACCGTTTTCTACTTCATCGACGACACCGGACATATTAATCAAAATCAATTATATCATATACATTCAAACGAACTACCTGTGTCGCTATATTGCCAAATAGTGTACTTAGTGAAATACCACTATTTATACTTTATTTATTTATTTATTTCAAATTACTTTGTATTTAAAACCATGTCATTAACGTAAACAAACAATTTTTAATTTCGAAAATAAATACGAATAAATATTTTCGGCGTTGGTAGTTTCTGTCTCAACAGCGGGTACTGGCCGCATGTCGATGGTTTTTCTCTGGGTACGCTCTAGCTTTCCGCCATCATCAATACCTGACTCTGGGTACGCTCTAGCTTTCCGCCATCATCAATACCTGACTCGTTCTTAAATTGCCAAAGCTGCTCATTTGATGTAAAAAAGACAAATCAAAATAAACCAAATCGACAGTAGTTTGGACCGAATTTAGGATCTTCATATTTGTGGCCCCCTGCATTAGGAGGACGTGAAAGCTGTACGGTGCAGTGGAATTCATTTTCGGCAGGCTGTACCTTTTGCCAAATTGTATAGGTGTAGTCACATCTTTGTATCTTACGGTTATCTTTTAATACATTAGGTTGTTTCCCTACCCTTATTTTCTAATGGATTTTTCTTTCATGCCTCTGAAACTTGAGTTTGTTTGACTAATTTGCTATTTCAATGGCTACAATAAGATATTTTCCAGTGACATAACAATTTCAAACGATTCTGTTACATTACATATCATATGAGGAAACTAAGTTTTTATGCGAAGTGAAAAGTCTGAGTTTAATATACTTAAAATAGATACGAATGATTGTGACCGAGACTAACAAACGGCCTTTTACTGCAAAGCATGACGAATATAAAAAATGTAATACAATCTAATACAGACCCGTCGTCTGAGGAGCTTTGTCTGAATTCTGTAATTGAAATAAGATTGCTTTATCCTGAGCGTGGGTTGGGGTATCAGTTAACATAGAGGAGAGAGAATTAATCCAATTTTCCAAGCAATATACTATTGTTATAAAATTGTCATGGTTTATAAAGATTCCAGTGGTGGACAATATGGCGTCAACTGAATCAGTATAGTATTCCATGCAGCAATATAAATCGATTTCACTGAAAGAAAACTGTAAGATGTAAACCTAATTTACAATCCTCGTGGCACCTTTATCAAGCTCAATTCACAGAGAAACAAAACAACGTATTTTTTTCTAATTCTACTCTTTAAATTGTCTGCGGAACTTGGAGAGTTTTTACTGATTACTTAAATCCCTTGATACGCGTTTGGTTTTAAAAATTCAAATGAATCATCCTGACAATTTGCAGTTTGTTTGTTAACTCCTCTTTGATATATTAAGAATATCAGACGATATTTTTTACGTAAAGACGTCGCCTCAAACCAATGCACGCTTAGCGGACAAGCATTACAAGATGACGATCGAGCCCTCGTGTCTGACTTGACCTGGAATATATTACATCATTTAGCCATGATACTTTCGCCGATGATATTTCGTAAAGATTCATGACAGATTTATGACCAATGCAAACTTTTCGTTTCTTATACCCCCTCAGTAGACTACGAGGTGAAGAAATTAAAGAGCACATCAAATAAATATGGTCCTAGATAAATGTCTATTCCCGTTTATCATGTATATAAGCGACACACGTGACTGCACCTAAAAGATGCGATACAGTACACAAACAAAATGAATTTCACTCCATCATACAGCTGTTTCGTCCTTTACGGGCTCATCGATAATGATGATATAGGTGGAAATCCAAATAGATCTTAATTCCAAAATAGCACTTTTGAAATTTGATTCGAAAACCGAAAGTTGATTTATAACCTTGAAAGTAGGTCAATGTCAACCATTTTCAACTGTTGAAACAGAAGGCGTGTATGAAACCCTTAATTACATTAATTTCAAAACCCAAAGAAGGACTGGTAAATTTCAAATAATAAATAAGTGTGCATTGTATGCACTGTGCTACTGCTCAAAAGAGATGACCGCGGCCATAAAGGTTACGGCAAACCTCAAAACTCTGAAATTAGAGGAAGTGCACCTAAAACCTAAAGGCAATAGATACATAATGCCAAAAAGGAATTACACGGAACCTTACATCTGTATTAGTCCTATAGCTATAGGTCCAGTCGAAAGTAGGACAATCCTTATCGAAACGCAATCTATCAACTGGTTTGTCACCATACTAGTTATGTTGAAAAATGATTAGTTAATAATATAAACATCACAAAATCTAAAGTGTTTAACCCTCAATACTGAGAAGTAGTATAATGCATATGAAGTATCGGCGTTTTTATTGGAATATTAGTCACAACGAACGGGCAAATTTAAGTAAAAAAAATATAGGCATGGAAGGTTAAGCTAACGATACTTGGCTGTCCGAAAGCTGTGACCCTCGCACCGAGATACAGTACCAGTGTGGTTCTAGAAACAGCTGTCACATTTTCACTGGTTCCAACAGCACAGTCTGTAAAATCAAAATGAAGGTTGCAGTAGCTTTCCTCTGTTTCTGTATTGCTGTCGTCGTAAGTATATATCTAAAAGAGGAAAGGTATAATTTCATCGAAAAAAAGGATGTTAGGTTCCATAATTCATAATCCTTTCACGAATTGACGTTTTGACAATGTTTGTATAACAGAACTGCTTGAAAAGTATATATTGAAAGTATAAATAGCTATTTAAATATATACTGTTCGGATGAATATAAGACACTCGTGTGATTGCACATACATTGTTTTAATTAATATATACGTACATGTATCCCAAGAATACACTGCACGATACAGCTGTTTCGACCTCCTAAAACTCATCGGTAATGCTTGGGTTCATAAGGTGGACATCCAAATCGAGCTAAACTACTCTTGAAACAGACGGAAAGAATCATAAACCCCTTAATCATCTGACTTTCAAAAATTAGAAAAGTTTTCGTTAATTTAAAATTAATAATGAGTCAAGACTATAGATTACGAACTTTGTCACTATAGCTACTCAAAAGAGATAAATGTGGCCACAAGGTTACGACAAACATCCGGGACTAAGAAAACCAACGGAGTCTACCACACCTTGTATCTCGATATGAATTTCCTGCATTCTGCCATTTGAAAGCCGATAATTTAGTACAGTTTGTAACTTACCTGATTGGTTTTAGATATTGAATAACATATCAAAGTAGGTTATTTAATGGTTCAATGTATTCACCTGTTGAATTCGAAACCGTTGGTTGTGTAACAATGTTTTGGGACAGAACTCCTGAGTGATTGTTGGTTGTGTAACAATGTTTAGGACAGAACTCCTGAGTGATTGTTGGTTGTGTAACAATGTTTAGGACAGAACTCCTGAGTGATTGTTGGTTGTGTAACAATGTTTAGGACAGAACTCCTGAGTGATTGTTGGTTGTGTAACAATGTTTAGGACAGAACTCCTGAGTGATTGTTGGTTGTGTAACAATGTTTAGGACAGAACTCCTGAGTGATTGTTGGTTGTGTAACAATGTTTAGGACAGAACTCCTGAGTGATTGTTGGTTGTGTAACAATGTTTAGGACAGAACTCCTGAGTGATTGTTGGTTGTGTAACAATGTTTAGGACAGAACTCCTGAGTGATTGTTGGTTGTGTAACAATGTTTAGGACAGAACTCCTGAGTGATTGTTGGTTGTGTAACAATGTTTAGGACAGAACTCCTGAGTGATTGTTGGTTGTGTAACAATGTTTAGGACAGAACTCCTGAGTGATTGTTGGTTGTGTAACAATGTTTAGGACAGAACTCCTGAGTGATTGTTGGTTGTGTAACAATGTTTAGGACAGAACTCCTGAGTGATTGTTGGTTGTGTAACAATGTTTAGGACAGAACTCCTGAGTGATTGTTGGTTGTGTAACAATGTTTAGGACAGAACTCCTGAGTGATTGTTGGTTGTGTAACAATGTTTAGGACAGAACTCCTGAGTGATTGTTGGTTGTGTAACAATGTTTAGGACAGAACTCCTGAGTGATTGTTGGTTGTGTAACAATGTTTAGGACAGAACTCCTGAGTGATTGTTGGTTGTGTAACAATGTTTAGGACAGAACTCCTGAGTGATTGTTGGTTGTGTAACAATGTTTAGGACAGAACTCCTGAGTGATTGTTGGTTGTGTAACAATGTTTAGGACAGAACTCCTGAGTGATTGTTGGTTGTGTAACAATGTTTAGGACAGAACTCCTGAGTGATTGTTGGTTGTGTAACAATGTTTAGGACAGAACTCCTGAGTGATTGTTGGTTGTGTAACAATGTTTAGGACAGAACTCCTGAGTGATTGTTGGTTGTGTAACAATGTTTAGGACAGAACTCCTGAGTG